ATTATGCACATGTTAGTTATTCCCACATTGATTAGAAAGTAAAACATTCCTATCAAGTTAATCTATAAAGAGTATATCTCTCTTGTAAACAAATTATACCATTCAATACAATTCTATTCTCTTTGTATTGTCTTATTTTCTCTCTTAAATTCAACTGAGTTGACTCGTCGAGTGGACACGTATTGTAGGATCTAAATTTTTGGATCAACTAGCGTAGGCTCTGTCACCATTAATGGCCACTATATAACACAAACTCGAGGTATATTTTCAACTGCCAATCATCCAATTAGAAGACAATCGTAAACAAAGAAAAGAAAATCAGAGCGCCCAAACTCAATCTTGATATCATGAGAACGCCACTAAAATCCATAAATATCGTAATGCGTTAGAAAAAAATAACAAAACACGATAATAAGGTAATCCTTACTTTTTCAAATTCCTTTTTATATATTATTATGTCTGTATACGTTTGCTCTAACGGCGTCCCTTTCATTGTTTACTAAATTCTTTGTCGAGTATTAGAATGCTTCGAATATATTCATGTAATTTTATCTAATTTATTAGGGTTCTAGTTAAACACAAATTCTTAAAAATATATAAAAAGATTTAGGATAATTTAATGAAAGTAAAAAAATTAATGGATGAATTTAGAGTTATGTATTTTTATTTAGTTTTATTTATGTAAATTTACATATGATTTAAAATTTAATAAAATTTTATTTTTAAAAGTCGATGTATATATAAAATTGTGGATGGAAATAGCATAACCCACAATTTTTCTCGAAGAAAAATCTCTTTTCCTTAATCCTTACCACGTCAAAGTAGCAGCGACATAGAGATGGATGCGTTGGATTCAGTATTCGATCCACTGAGGGAATTCAATAAGGACAGCATTCGCCTCATCAAGAGATGCCACAAGCTAGAATGCAAAGGTATTGTTACGCCTCACCTCCGAGGCTCTAGTCAAAATGCCACGTAGCAATCCACGTAGGCGGAAAAGTCTACAAAGACCTAACTGGTCAAATGTAAAGAAATCATATGGATGGTCGAAACTCTTATGCCGGAACACTGCCTAACGGTTGAAGTGCATAAATCTATGAAAATCTTCAAAGGAAATTCGTAAGGATCTTCATCATGTTAATCCAGCTTTTTTGATGTTAAACGTGGGCTGTGTGTTACTTGGAGGCAATTGCAACCAAATGACGAATAAAATGATTAGATAATTTGAGACTTCTTATGCAACCATATCCACCTACCTAAAATGGGCTTGAAAGCAGGAGCTTTGCAAATATCTAGGGCCTTAGACAAGCAGGTAGTTCAGTGCATGTGCTGTGAAAATATGAAGTATTTGTTTCTTGTTTCTCTTTCTTTCTTGCTTCACATCAGTAACTGTTAGGCTATATGATATTGATATTGTTGACTTTTTTTCTGATAATATAATGGTGTGCTTTTTTGTGAAAACCGCAGGTCACACATTATCTGAGATGCAAATTAGCTTTTGAATCTGGAAAATACAAAGAGTAGGAAGATATGTATATAGGATCTATTTATAATGTCCAAATGACTTCGGATGGTGAAACTCTCCTCGCTTCTGACTACCATTTGTATTGATTTTGCTTTATTTGGTGTCATTTGACTATAGCTGTTGCAATCCTTGGTTTTTACAAGTACCTTGGGAACATTCTAAATGTGTTCATCTTTGTGCTTGGAGTAAACTGTTTTTAATTTTAAAAGCTCAAGTATTACATTTTGGATGAGGTTGAAATGCAAAATGTGAGAAGTTGGGACCTTATAACAGCTCCAATCTGTTAGATTTATATATTGTATTGGCGATTCTTTGAACAAAATGACCAACTTGAACAATTATAAAAGTTTAGGGACTGAATTGTAAATTTTCATAGTTGATAGGTTAGCTTAGGATTCGGAGTTTCATGTTTGGAACAAGAAAGATTTACGCTGATTTTTCGTTAGCTGCTCGTCGGAGAGGTGCTCGAGCGGATGAAACAGAGACACCATCGCTCGACCTTCGCCTACATGTCGCTTGAGCGACATGCTCCTCGCTCGAGCGAAGTATAATCCTCGCTCGAGCGACGATGTTTTTCGGTCAGACCTAATTTCGATTTCCGAGACTTTTTCTTGGCCCATTCAACCTAATTCATCCAACATATAAATAAAGGCGCTGCATTTTCTGCAAACAAGAGATTGAACACATTCTATTCAAGAGAGAATTCATCCTACACAAGA